ATTAAAGTTTTGAATGAAAAGAGGGAATGGAGGGTCAAGTGAAGAAGAGATGAAAGATTTGTGAGGATGGATTGTTCTTGTGAGAAGGTGAGGTTGAGGCAAAAGATATCCAGAGGAGCATTGTTCAATTTTATAAAAAGCATTTTTATGAATCATCTAAATGGATATTGAGGTTAGGGCTTGAATAATTTTTTTTTTTTTTTTTTTTTTTTTTGATCAGTAAGGTTAGGGCTTGAATATTTGACAAGGTAGAGGTGGACAAGGCCTTGATAGAGGGACCATCTATTGAGGAAGAGGTGCGGAGGCTTTCAAAAGCTGTAATGGGGATAATGTTTTTGACATTAATGGTAATACAATTGCCTTTTCTTGTGGTGCTTGGAGATGTTAACTCAATTGTTTTCACTACATTCAATTCTTTGCATGTGCAGTGGGAGTTTGAGAAGATCTTAATTGCTTGTTTCCAAGAGTAGGGGAGCATTTGAATTGAAGTACTTTCAACTAGTTAAATTTGTGGGGTGGATAGTTTGTGAGAGGTCATATCCAAGGCTCTGATGCGTCAAAGTGTGAGTTGTGAAATAGACCTAGAGGAGGGGGGTGGAGGGGCTACAATGTGAGCCTTGGTGTAATGGTAAGGTCACTCCATTGTGACATGGTCACGGGTTCAAAAAGGAAACAATCTCTTCTTATGCGGAGGTAAGGCTGCATACATATGACCCTCCCATGGCCTCACAATGGTTGGAGCCTCGTGCATTGGGCTAGCCCTTTGTTACTTTTCAATATACATCATTATGCACACAATGTTGCATCAATTTGAAAATAAAATAGAGTAGAGAGAACAACCATGGTACTTAGTCTTTATAGGCACAATCCACTAAATGAGAATGAAGTCACAACTTACAAATAGGTTGATAGTTCCTAAAGCTTAGAATCCCTAGTTACCTCTTAACATAGATTGACGCCAAACTCTCCGATCATGTCTCAAGCCGTAGGTCCACTCGTCAATGGATTTCGTTTTCCACAAATCCGTTTGTCTACTAATTGTCCATTCCTCTGCTTTGAATTCTGAATGGTTAATTTGAATTGAATCGATAAAAATTCAATCACATATAATGGTGTCTAAGGAAACCTTAGATTGAGTAATTAGATATATCATCCTCTCTTAAGTTCTTTTTCTCTCCAGATGATTAGAGGCTTCAAATAATAACCTAAACCAACCATAACCATAACCCCATATTTATAGTCAATATAGGTAGCCCATATGTTTTAGGAAGTTGAATCCTTGTAAAATTTTATTTTGAGCGAGTTTCCAAGAATACATGTCCAAAGGGTTCATTGATGGAGCCTTCGATTGATAGCTTTTGGAGCTACTTTGATTGATTCTTCCTGTAATTCAACCTTGCAAATTTAGATAGACCCTTGATTAATCAACCTATGATTGATAGTCTCAGTTTCTTGCTCAATCGATTGGATTATCGATCGATGTACCGTGTTGTTTATCAAAAAACTTTGAAAAATATTTATATTTCATACCATTAAAGAATCATTTTCAAAATCACTTCTAAAATAAAACTTTGAGCCTCTAAGATCAATCTAGGTCAAATTAGGTAATTCTAAGGTTAATTTACCTGTGCTCTAGATATATCATTAAGGATGTGGTTTTTAGGCCGTGTTATTTGCAAAGTTGTGTTTGCCTTGTCTTTAATGGAAGCATGAACTCATATCACTCAGTTGCCAACATATGACTTCTATACCTAACATGATATATATATTTATATAATTTTTTATTGGAAGTAATGCTGCAAATGAAGCGAGCTTTTTGGCTCGGCTCGGGCTCGTTCGTTAAGTAAATGAGCTGAACTAGAGCTCGATTTCTAAGCTTGTTTTGTAAATGAGCCAATCCCGAACAGTATTGGGTTTGACTCATCTAGGCTCATGAATATGAGCTCATCTAGGCTTGTATATGTTCATGAACATAGGCTCGTATGGGCTGATGAACAGGTTCGTAAACACAGGTTTGTATGAAATCATGAACGTAGGCTCATGAACATTAGTTCATGAAATAGGCTCGTATAAGCTCATGAACATGTTCATGAAATAGGCTCGTATAAGCTCATGAACATGTTCATAAATATAGGCCTGTATGGATTCATGAATGTAGGTTCATGAACATAGTCTTATGTAGGCTCATATAATAACGAGTCAAAGTGATCTTGAACATGAGCTCAAATCTAGCCCGAACGACTTCTATTATTAAACATGCTGAGCCCGAACGACTTCTATTATCAAATGAGTCGAGCACAAGCTTTTCAAAAAATGACGAGGCGAGCCCAAGCTCAGCCCACAAATGAACAAGCTGATCCCAAACAGACTCCTCGGCTCGACTCGGTTCATTTGCAGCCCTAATTAGAAGGTTACCTAACAGGGGGTTTGTATAAGGTTATTGTGATGTTGCTTTGTGGCTTAGAATGATAGAAGGGCATTACCTAGTTGTGGTCCCACCTGGGCAGGGTCCTAGAGTGGGAGGACTTGAGACACACCTATATTTGGTATTTTGTATTGTAATTATACTAGTCATAAAAAGCCTTCCCGTGGACCATCAAGGTTAAGGAGTGAGTAATGTCCAGCGGCAGGGTATAAATTTGACAGTCCCTTTGCATATGAGCATGCACATTGGGGGTTTCGTATGTACATCACAAGGGGAGTACTTTTTCAGTAAAAATGGAGGACGAATGGATTATTATATCCACAGTTAATTTTCTAGTCAGTTGTCATGCCTGGCTGAACTTCGTTGAACTCTGTTGGCCTGAAGAAGCATTCTTTCACTGGGTTGTTGCTACCTGGCCCATTTCTTAAAGCAAATTAACCTGTATGCCCTTCATGAGGTCTTCCTTCTCAGCCTGAGAAGACAACTTGAGGAAAACACCACATTGGTCAAATCTCTTGGATGGTCGCACCGAATCGACGCTGCTAAGCCCTTGCCTAAACAACATCTGCAGCATTTCTTGTCCTAAAGCTCTCCTTTCAGTTTGTCAGCTTGTCTCAAAAAAATATTTTTCTGGGTTTTTAAGCCTGCCAATGGAAAGGGCTCGTGTTTAAATCCTCTCCTGATATGGCCAGAAAGAAAAACTGATGTGGATTATGCCTTGGTGTGGGCTCAGTCTTTCCCAAACTGATGTGGATTATGCCTTGGTGTGGGCTCAGTCTTTCCCACCCAACTTAGCTGTGGTCTCCTTGGTGCAATACTGAAGTTGATATCTTTTGGCCCAGCTTGTAAACGCCTTTGCCCCTCAGCTGCTTGACATGTTCACGTATGTGTTGAATTTTGCTGCCATTTATCACCTTTGCAGGAGAACAGCCATGTTGTCTTTTACACTCCTAACATTTTCTTTTCCTTCCTATTTCCATAGTAACCAAACAAGGAAAAAGGACTTCCTTTCTAGTGCCTATTTTACCCTCTCATTAATTTGCATACCAAATATCTTTCAGGGTTTCTGAACCCTTCCCACTTACATGTCTTATATGTCCCTGCTCAATCTCTCCTTTTCCGTAAAACTTTGAAGAATCATGTTTATTTATTTATTTTTGACAAGTAAAACTGTATTAGAAAGCGTTCAAAAGGGGAACGTGTCCCAAGAGCTATACAAAAACCGAAACCAAAAAGGGAATCATGTTCATGGGGATTGAACAATGATGGAGCCCGATTATGTTGTTCAATTGGAAACTCAACTGCTGTCAGTGTGATCTTTGGAATTAATTGGATTTTGTAGCAAAAGGAGTTGACCGTGAGCAAGATTGTATCTAGGATGCAAGATCTGCTCCTAAATCAATTTTCAGATTCTGTGTATATTGATGACAAATTTGCCTCATTAGCAAGCCCACCACACTAGTCTCTGAACACCTTGAACATATTCAGGCATCATAGATGGAGGGACAGTCCGACTATGAAAACCACTCTCATTGCGTCTTCATAACATGAGTGAGTGCCCAATCCTAAAAACCAAAATTGAGTGTAAGAACAGCATTGCCATCTTTTCACTGTCCCCTTCACATCCACTCTGTTTCCTTTGTTGGGGGAAGAAAGAACAAGAGTGAACAAGAGTAAAGAGTGAGGTAGCCTGGAAACTCCTGTGGTTGCCTTCTTAGCCTTGTCATGTACTCTGCCACAGGTTGTAAGCACCCAAATGTGTATCAATCTTTCAGCTAAAGATGATCTGAAGTACTCCATCCTAGCTTGAACCCTACCTCCACTTGCATCCTTGAATACTCAATTTGTAATTTTGCATCTTCGAAACTTCTGTAAAGGCCTTTGTTCCTCAAATCACTGTCCATTTGGCTTTACACATTTCACAACTTTGCAATCAAATATAAATGATTATCTTTGTCATTTTCTGTTCCACCCTCAACGTATGCAGTATGATTGATCAAGGTCTTTTTTTGTAGTGCTTGATTTTTTCTTAGTGTAAGGATGGATTTGTGAAGATTCCATAAGAGGTTTGGTAAAACTTACTTGATGTCTTCCATGAGAGAGATTCTGTACCATACAGTAGCTTGATCACTATCTTCATTGGGTGGGGTGGAGTATGGTGTTTTGAGGTAAATTAATGCAACTAAAGGAAATAATGGACCTGTAAGAAAAACAAAAGGGGTTTACTTCTGCTTAAATGTATTTTCCTTGGTTACTTCCATATTGTTTTATTTTATTTTTATTTATATTTATTATTAGTATTTTTGAAAACCAGTCATTGATTTTTATTTTCCTTTGAACCTGATTTTCTTTCGGTATGGGTTAACTGTGGATGGGAAATAATTCATTAGTTTATGCTACAACCAGAGGACACAAGCAGAAAATTTTCATTGAGTTTCCTCCTGCTCCTCATCATCGACATCATCCTCAATAATGTTCTGTTTTCCATCATCATCATCTAAACATTAATATTTTCCTTTTGTGCTTCATTTTAATTTTCTAAACACAAACATGGTTCTTTTGTGCTATGATATAGGGGATACAAACGTTTTTTTAGAAGAGCTTTGCTTGAATCTTCAGATTATCTTAAAGATGATTGCTTGAAAATCAACTGCACTGTTGGAGTTGTAGTTTCTGCAATAGACTGTTCAAGACTATACTCAATTCAGGTTCCGGATTCAGATATTGGAGCACAGTTTGGTATTCTACTGGAAAATATGGAAGGTTCAGATGTTATTTTTAACGTGGATGGGGAAAATTTTCACGCTCATAAGTTGGTATTGGCTGCTCGTTCCCCTGTATTTCGATCTGAATTTTTTGATGGATTAGAGGGTGATAAGCAGGAGATTGTTGTTTCAGATATGGAACCCAAGGTTTTCAAGGTAAAAGCTTATTCTCATTTTTCTCCTGGTTCCACTAAAATAGTAGGTCGTATTTGTAGTCTTCTGAAGAATTTCTGCACTTCATGACTGCAACTATTTTAATTCTTCTGTTCCAAATAAAAAATGAAAGATTCTGTTTTCAAATGAAAAACGAAAGATTCTTCATTATTGCTATTATTGAGTAGTAGTCCTGAAATTGTCTGATGTCCAACAGGCTATGCTGTATTTCATATACAGAGATGCTCTTATGGAAGATGAGTTGTTAGCTTCGAGTTCATCTTGTGCATCATCTGTATCTGACACATTAACGGCAAAATTGTTAGCAGCATCTGATAAGTATGAGCTCGGAAGACTCAGACGGATGTGTGAGTCTCACCTCTGCAAGGATATTTCTGTCAACTCTGTTGCAAAGACACTAGCTTTGGCAGACCTTTATCATGCCACAGAACTAAAAGCTGTTTGTCTAAGATTTGCAGCTGAAAACCTTGCAGGTAAGTTTCAGTTTCCAAAATGAACACCCCGCACCCCCACTAATTAGTTTCATTAATATTAAGACTTCTACATAGCTTCATTGCAACAGAACCCTTTCTACATAACTTCAACTGCAGACTCTTTTCATTAAACATTTTCTTGCTAGATATTTCCTTTTCACTTGACTTTGTTGAATCAATCTTGTTTCTTTGCACCTTTGCTTGAGCTGGATTTGGTAACTAACTCAAATGTAAAGGTTGCATTCTATATTTAGCATTATTTATTCACTTTCATGTTGACAAAATGCAATGAAAAGCATATTGTTGGACTTAAGTGCCATCCATATCTTAAAGGTATCCGACTTGGTGGTGAAAGTGCAGTTTGTCAGTGATATCTCTTTGATCTGGCTGGAGGAGAGAGAGATCACTCAACTCCTAAGATGACACAAGCCCTTGTGATGTGGCAACACCATAATAGACTACATTCAACACACGATCTGAAGTTCCTTTCCTATAGCTGTGGTGTTTCTCCTACCTTGTTCGACTTGGATAGTCTAGATCAGGGATGTGGCTTTTACTCCATGATGGAACTGGTATGGTGAAATATTAAATGGGAGGGCTAGGAAAACAAAGTTGAATTTGATCCAGGTTTGGGGTTGGCACGGGTAAAGGAGTGTCCCACCCCTGTCCCCGACCTTCCGGCCCTTTTTTTTTAATATCAAATGACAACCTTACCCTTATTATGTGTTACTATTCTTTAGTTACTTACCCTTATGCATAGTATATCCTTATTTGCTACGGTTTCGTTCAGTTCATCTTTCGCTCAATCTAAGCGACAGTGCTTCGTTCTCCACTCTCCAACTATATGTTCTTGGCTACCTATGATTGTTCGTCTTCTCAAGCAGCAGTTCTCTCTCTCCATATACATATATATATATATATATATATCTATATCTACGTTTTAGATTTTATTCTATATCTATTTCTCTGTCTCTCCCTATCCTGTCCTTAAGTTGCGATTGCATCTCTCCGCTCTTTAGCAGTCTAGCTATTTTCAAGCACTTTGGCTCTTGATGATCGTATGCAAGATTTTCTTCCCCCTCTCTTATCTCTTTATACACACACAAGCACATAAATATCTAGGGTTTATATTAAATTTGTATATAATTATATATATACCTAGATCTCCATTTACATACCACTTTGTGCAAAACCTGATCTCCTCTCTCTTTCTCTCTTGTTCCCAATTTTATATGCCTAGTCTTGCTAACTGATCAATGGAAGCGCAGAATGAGGCAAAACCATCGAATAAAGGTTTGATCTTATTCATGAGTCACGAGTGGGTCATCATTCACTCCAATTTATTTGCCGATGTGGACTCAACTTTGATCCTATTCAGGGAGATTTCGTACTTGTTCCATTCCAAAACTTGAAACTTTGAAACTATTGGGATTTTTTGGAAAACTTAGTTGAATTAAACTTGGCAGAGTTTTATTTGAATTAGGAAATTCTGTAGTTAGCATGTTCACACATCAGACAAATTCGATTGGCTGAACATCAGATTTAGATCGATTTAACCATTCATGTCAACAGTCGTACTAGTTGAACTTCCAAGTTTAACCTGTTGAAAAGTCTCTTGTCATGCCCCCAAAATTTAGATATAGGAGCATCTTATCAAATACCAAAATTTAGAGCATGACTTTATTCCAACATCAATTAATCGATCTGACATCATTATTATTTCTGATGCTTGTTTGGGAAGGTTGCAGTGTGTGGGACTAAACTTGCATGGTTTGGACTCCTTATTTCCTTGATTTGTTCTAGTTTTTTTATATTTTTTGTGGTTGGAGATACCTACCCTATCTTCAAACTGCTTTTTTGGGGTGATTATCCTACTCTTATTTATTTATTTTGATAAAAGTATATTAGAGCTCGTTCAAAAGGGGAACGCATCCCGAAGGCTATACAAGGGCTGAAGCCAAAGAGAGGGTCCTAGGGACCCAAAGAACCCACAAAATCCACAATTTCATCTATAGATATACAATCTCTCCCCATCACCCAACTAAAAAGAGGACTAATAATAGAAAATTTCAGCGTCCCAATGGAAGATTCTTCCCCATAAAAAGATCTTCTATTCCTCTCCTCCCAAATGGACCACCAAACGCAAAGGGGTTTTGCCCTCAGTTAACAACCATCTACTCCAGCCTCTTCAATGCATTCCATGAACGAGTTCCCAGTATTCTCATCCATATGAATGGCTCACTGTAGATCCCTGATTGCTGCCAATGGAGTATCAATCCCAACAGTTCCACTATCCTCCCACACGGGAGCTGGAAGGTCCAAGACTGGAGCACACTCAGAAACAGTACTGTTATATTGCAAACTTCAGCCATTGAAACATCCTTGTCCCCTTCAGAAGACCTGCACAGACCCCTATCCTCCACGACTTCGCCAATTTCCCACATCTTTGGAGCCTCTGATTGCTCCTTAAACCCTGCGGAGTCGAGTTTTAAATTAGCACGCAGAGCCTCAGCCAATTCTTGTCTATCAATAATTGAGTCCCCCTTCCCATGCACAATATAAAACTGCCATCCTTTCTGCTAGTGAAAATTGTCATCTGCCCACCATTCTGAGAATCAGCATTGGAATCAAAGCATGAAATGACCCGTGTTCTCTGAAAATCAGACATCCTCACCACTTTCTTCCTCTGTTCCACCTTCAGGTCCCCCCCCCCCCCCCCCTTTTTTTTTTTTTTTCGATAAGTAAGATTGTAAAGTTTCTGCGCCCTTTAGTTGGGAACAGGCAACACACCTCTCACAAGCAACAAAAGGCCAAATAGGGCCTCTAAACTCTCAATGAATCCAAAAAATCAACTTTCTCCTCCATGAATTTACAAGTTCTCTCTAGAACCCAACAAAAAAGAGTGCTAATAATGGAGAACTTAAGCGCACCAATAGGATTTTCCTTTCCATCAAAGGATCTCGTATTTCTTTTGAGCCATAAACACCACCAAATGCACAAAGGTGCAACCTTCCAGAAATCGCAAACTTGGCCCCCCTCTATACATCCTCTCCAAGCCTCCACCAAGTCTCTCGAGGTCTTGGGCATAACCCACTGGAATCCAAACAAACCAAAAGCATAACCCAGCAATCCCAAGCTCCGGGACAATGCAAAAGAAGGTGATCCACTGTTTCCTATCTCTCTTACACATATAGCAATAGTTGATCACCACCTGTATTCTCCTCCTTAGGTTATCCTGAGTCAATATCTTTCCAAAAACAGATGTCCAAGCAAAGAAAGCCACCTTGAGAGCGGCCTTAGTCCGCCAAATAGCCTTCCAGGGGAAGGGATCTCCAGGAACATCCGAAAGACACCTAAAGAAGGATCGGACATCAAAACATCCACAAGGGGAGGGAACCCACACCCAAGAGTCAGAAACTCCACTAACAATCTCATGTCGATACAACGTCTCCAACAAGCTGATGATGTCCTCAATGTCCCAATCCTGAAAATTCTGCGAAAAGCGCACGTCCCAAGTTGTTTTCCTGCTATCAAGCCGATAGTAGTCAACTTCAGGTCCCTCTTCAGAAAAAGGCGACAGCCTACGGTACTCTGGCTACAAACACCCATCCACTTCCTCAGCACCACACCTCAACTCCCCACAGCAAGCACTTGTTTTCGCATCTAACATTGACAAGGCATATCCATGCCTCAACGTTATCCACAAAATGTTGCAAACTCAATGAAAGATCCCCTTACAATCAAAGGATTCTATAGATTAGAGATTAAGGTTATGTAATGAGGGTAATTGAAGATACCTTGGTTTGAAACTTACAATCCAACTATGGTTCACCGAAACCATTTTCATATCCATATATCTACACTGAAACCATTTTCATATCCATATATCTATGTTAAATGGACTTGGTTATGTGTGTCAAGTGCGGGTATGTATCCAAGTATCAGTGTCAAACTGTCAACTAAAAGGATTCAAGGACATTGCTAAATATTAACGTAGTGTTCAATATAGCATTTCACTTGTTTACAAAATTGAATGATTGGATATGTTTTTTAGGTTCATCTCCAGCTAAAAGCGTCAGACACATATCCCATACACATGTCCACATATATTTTTTTTGATAAGTAAAAATAGCATTAAAAAAGGTGTTCAAAAGGGGAACGCGTCCCAATTACAAAAGAGGAACCGGGGTTAAGGCCCTAAAGAATCCAAGAAAGTAATTAAATCATCAGAAGAAGAACAAAAGTTCCTCTTCACATAATTGAAAAGAGAACGAAGAATGTAAAGTTTGATCATAGCTGTAGGCGTCTCATTCCCTTCGAACATCCTATTATTTCTCTCCTTCCAAATACACCACCATACACAATGTGGCACAATTCTCCAGAAATCGCGAAAGTCTCTTCTCACTCGACAGCCTCTCCAAATATGAATTAATTCCTTAGTAGAACGTGGAATAACCCAACACATGCCAAACAACCTAATAATGAGATTCCAACAGTTGTTCGCCACAGGGCAATGCAAAAGGAGGTGATCAACGGACTCCTCATCATCCTTGCATAGACAACATCGATTAACAATACAATTGCCCCTTCTTCTTAAATTATCAATTGTCAGAATCTTTCCCCACACTGCAGTCCAAACAAAAAAAGTCACCCTAGTTGGAGCCATAGATCGCCAAATAGTTTTCCACGGGAAATCACGATTAGCAAAATTTGACAAACATAAGAACAATGATCTAACTTCAAAGCGACCATGGGAAGAAGGAGCCCATAATAAAACATCATTACCACTGCCTACGCCTTCCTGCCGATACAGAAGATCTAGAAAAGCACATACCTCGTCCATCTCCCAATCCTGAAAAGAGCGTCGAAAAAGCACATCCCATATAATCCCGCTGCTATCAAGCCGACAACAGTCAACTACGTAGGCGTGTTTATCAACAACAATACTAAATTGGGAAATGCACAAGATAGTGGTTGTTCCCCACACCAGAGATCTTCCC